AGGGAAGAAAAAAAACAAGACAAAAATAATGGAGAAAGCCAAGAATATGAAAGTCAAAGTAAAGGAATGATGATAGGCCAAGAAATACATTTCAAAAGTGGCTTAAGTCAAAATTTAGGAATACATACAAAAACATACCTAAACTGAAGTTACAGGGACACTCAGTTTACCAGTTCACAGGATCTAAGAGAACAATTTGGAAATATTTAGTAGGGTATTTGAACCTATGATTGATTTAGTATTATCTAACATAACTGAAAGAGTGTATCATGTATGAGCAATTGTTCTTCCATGTATATACAGCTACTGAAATTCCAGTTCACATAAACCAATGATCACAGACAAGGATATTTATTGAAGTATATTTGAAATAGTGAAAACCTGTTAAAACGTAAATATTTACCAATAAAATTTAAATTCATTATAGTATGTTCAAATAAAAAATTGAGCCATCCTCATTAGTATAGTAGTGAGTATATAAAAACAAAACTGGGCCAGCAATTTATTGCAGAGGAATATGTGAGCAGCAGAGAAATACATCATTCATTTCCTTTCCCAGCATAGCTAAACATCTGCCATAAGATCTGAATATTCTATCTTTAGGGTCACTGTGTTTGGGTTATGGCATTTCCAGTGTGGGTTCACATCCCAAAATACTAGATATTCTGAATGAGACTTCCTTAGTAAAGTTTATCATGCACTAAAGTTAAGCAAATTTTTATTGTAAGACTCAAATCTTTTGATAGCCTGATAATAAGCATTTTTTTTAAAAAAGGGATTTAGTATTCAAAACTTCACAAGGCTGTGTGCCCACAAACCATTTCTCAAGTGCCATTAAGTACTACTAATCCCAGAGACGTTCTTTTAGATATGTTGTGTTAAGGCACTGGTACTTTGAAGGAACAATCCACTGATATGGTAACAAAATTTTGCATTAATATATGTCTCAAAATACTCTGCTTTTTATTACATCCAATTAGCGTTATTTGTAAAAAGAATTTGCAAATGTTGAGCAATGATATAACTAGATAGTAAATGACTTGTACAATGATATATTATGGCTGTCTTACTGGCATAAAATGGACCTGGAGTTGCAAACCATAATGGATCCATGAGATCACAGACAGTTTGGTTGACAATGGACATTAGTTTAAGTTGAGGAAAGTGGTAGTATGGTAGTCTTAAAGAAATGAGTTACAATTATTTTAAGAATTGAATTTCAACTGTATATATTCACGCAAACCCCTACATGCCATTAAATCTATATATTTTGGTGCAGATGCTTTTGTGTTCTTACCAGGAAGGCTTCTCACAAAACTGCTTGATGACTGCCACCTGGTTGGAAGTATTGTCAGACGCCATAAATTGTAAGATACACCTTGATTTCAAATATGTGAAAAATTGTGCTCAGTGTTAAGCATTGAGGAAATTATCATATCCAATCTAGGCCATACTTTGGCCATCTAAAGCTAAGAAAAACTGAGAACATGGATCTTGAAGATATTTGGACTGGATCAGCTCTTCCTTTCCCATCATCAATTTGGAAAACTAGAACAGATCTATCCCTGGACAGTCCAAGTAAAGAAATTGTTTTGCTTAACTGCTTTACTAGGTTTTTGAATGAATGTGCTTATGGTTTAGAATTTCTGCTTTCTTCATAAAGACTCACCTACATTTTTGTCTTTTAAGAACTATCCTCATCTGTTGTATTATGAGGATTATAATATCAGTGTACAAAGAGCTAGTGAAATTTTGATATTACCTCCTTAAAATTTTTGATAAAACAAAAAATATCTCCTCCATCTGTACTTACATCCAATTCTCATTCACAATGCTGTAATTATCTTTTTCCTTTGATCAGATGTGCTAAAATCAGGATTAATATTTTTTCACAAAGCCTTAATAAGTCTATTTTATTTTCAAATTCATTAACTCCTTTTAATGATCCTTCCTTCTTTCTTATATTGACTTATTTTTCCCTTAGTTTCTTGAGTTTAATGCTTCTTCATTATTTTAACAGTTTTATAAGCGATTACTATGTTAAAGAGACAGTATTAAGTCACTGGGAGTAGAGTGGTGAGCAGGAGAAACAAAGCGCTGACCCTCAATATTTGTTTCCTGAATACATTAACAGGTTATTGATTTTTCACTGAGCACAGGTTTGACCACATTCACAAATTCTGATCTCACATTCATTTCTAAATTGTCCTTTATGGTTTCATTTTCTTTTTAATCTAGTGTCATTATATGATTGGAGATTTTAAATTTCCGAAATGCCAAAGTACTACCCTACAGATCACTTATTAAATTAAAAGAAATACTTAGCTTTACAACAGAGAAATCTGGCGATTACCATGTGAAACAAGTATTTCAGTTACCTATTGCTGTGTAACAAACTACTCCAAAACTTAGTGGCTTAAAACAGACAATATTTTACACATAAATCTGCAATTTGGGCAGGCTCATGGGGGAAAGCTTTTCTCGGCTCCACTTAGCACCAGCTAGGACAACTTCTGAAGGTTAAGGGTTAGAATCATCTGAAGGCTCATACCCTCATACGCTTGGTGCTGGATGCCAGCTGTTACCTCAACTACAGCTGTAATCAGGACAGCTTTACTTAGCTTTTCTGTGTGGTTACTTGGCATCTTCGTAGCATGGTGGCTGGGCTTCATCCCAAGTGGGTCAGGCAGAAGTTGTATTGCCTTTTGTGACTTAGTCGTGGAAATCACAGTGTTACTCCTGCCATAAACACAGGCCCGCCTGGCCAGATTCAAAAGGAAGGACCATGAGCTCTACCTCTTGGGGAGTGTCAGTATCACATTGTAAGGTGAACATGCAGAATGGAATATATTGCTGTGGCCATCTTTGGAATGTACGTTCTGCTACACCAAGTGAATGAACTAAGGATACCATAGTAGTATAATGACATTGTATGCCACCTAATGGGTTACAAATTAAAATACAAAATTTCTCCTATGAAGTATTCTTGCCAAAATATTTAATCTGTACCTAATTGGGTCTCTAATCCCAAATTCCAGTTAATGGGAAATACTGGGGATAAAGAAGCACATTAAAAAATACTTGGAGAAAACGAGAAAACTCCAGAATGTGATATTCTATAAGACAACTATCCTGAGTGCTTAAAAAGTCAATATTGCAATAGAGTTGTGGGGGGAAGAGCCATTCTTATTTTAAAAGATACAAACAATGCACAGATGTAATTCATGAACTTGGTTCCTGAATTTAAAAATAACCTATGAAAAGCATTCTTTACACAAGTGAAAAGAATGAACACAACTGAGAATATGAACACAGACTGAATATTACAGATTATGGAATTATTGCGAATCTCCTTAGGTGTGAAGTTACTGGGGGGTGGGGGTCCAATCTTTTGGCTTCCCTGGGCTACTCTGGAAGAACTATCTTGGGCCACACATAAAATATACTAACGATGGCTGATGAGCTTTAAAAAAATCGCAAAAAAATCTCATAATGTTTTAAGAAAGCTTACAAATTTGTGTTGGGCTGCATTCAAAGCTGCCCTGGGGCACAGACAGGTTGGACAATTGTTATATAGCAATTAAGCAGGAGGCAGCCTTTATTCTTAGATGTGATGTGTTACAGTATCTACAATTTATACTCAAAAACTATAGCAAAATATGTAAATATTATGTATAAGCAAACCAAATGTGACAACACATTAACCATTGCTGAATCTAGATAGAACATAACAGTGTTCATTATTCTTTTAATTTTTCCAAATGGATAGTGGCTGTTAGTTTCTAATTTATCATTAATTGTGGGCAGAAAAAGCAGACTGACGTACCTGCTTTTTGGGTTATAAAAAGGAAAAAGCATTATAGCTATCCCTGAGTCTTTAAAACCTTTACTCTCATAATCTTCACACCCATCAAATCTAGAGATCTCTTTCTCACATTAATTTTCAGAGATAGGTTCTGACTTTATAAATGGAAGTTTAATCTATTTTACTGGATATTATCCTGTTAATTATCCCAATCTAAATAAGGAGTGAAAGGTAATAGACGGTTTTTACAAATTCCTTACACCCACAGGGCCTTGCTTTCACATGAATGTACTAAGTGTATCCCTAATGAAAAAAATAAAGCACTATTTATTGATCAAACGCTATGTGCCAAATACTCTTTTAAAGGTTTTGTCTTTTATTAGCATTGCATCCTCACAAAAATACTATTAGGTGGTACTATTATTACCATTTTAAAAAACGAAGGCACAGGGGCATGTTTTGCCAAACACCACATAGACGGAGGTGGAATTGTGAGAATTATATTATTTATATATATCAAAAAGATATGCCAAGGCTGGCCTTTCCCATGTTCATTACATTAACAGAATCATTTTCTGTTACAGCGCTATATAAAGTGTGGTCCATGTGTTGACACTGGTCCACAAATTGTTTGCTTCAGGTCTCTGCAAAAGTTATAGATACTGAGAGCAAGTATTTAGAAATGTTTGCAGCAATCTGACAGAGTTAACTCAGTTAAATACCATAATAAAAAACTGAGTTTTTTCAGTTTCTTTTCATTTTTCTGGTATTCTAGTATTATTTATTTATTTATTTATTTATTTATTTATTTAAGAGAAGGAATCTTGCTCTGTCACCCAGGCTGGAGTGCAGTGGCACGATCTCGGCTCACTGCAACCTCTGCCACCTAGGTTCAAGCAATTTTCCTGCCTCAGCCTCCTGAGTAGCTGGGATTACAGGCACCTGCCACCACGCCTAGCTAATTTGTGTATTTTAGTAGAGACAGGGTTTCACCATGTTGGCCAGGCTGGTCTTGAACTCCTGACCTCAGGTGATCTGCCCATCTGGGCCTCCCAAAGTGCTGGGATTACAGGTGTGAGCCACTGTACCTGGCCTACATTTTATTTATTTATTTAGAGACAGGCTCTCACTCAGTCACCAAGCTAGAGTGCAGTGGCACAATCATGGCTCACTAAAGCCATGAGGCAGGGTCTCACTATGTTGCCCAGGCTAGTTTTGAACTCCTGTCTTTCCACAGTGCTGGGATTACAGGTGTGAGCCACTTCACCTGGCCCATTATTACTGCATTTTAGAGAAGCACTGTTCAACAACAGTTTGCAGGGGAAAAGGTCCTTGATGGTTTGGGATGCAGTGCATCGGTATCAATCTTCTAAAGTCTAACAGGGACTGAGTGATGCTATAGTCTTTCAACTCTTTAACATATGAAATAATTTCTGATAAATTGTGAGCATGAAGTAAAAGGGATTCCCACATGTTCTGTAACAAACAGAAAATTTCTTAAATTATAAATTATCTGCTAAAGGGCATTTTCTAACGGCCATCATATTCTCTTTACATTACACATAGGAGGACTTCCTCACTAACATGATTTCTCTGATGTAAAGTAAGTTGATCACTATGAATAAAGGCTTTTCCACATTCTTTACATTTATAGGGTTTTTCACCAGTATGAATTCTGTGATGTCGAGTAAGCTCTGAGTTAACACTGAAGGCCTTCCCACATTCTTTACACTTACAGGGTTTCTCACCCGTGTGAACTATGTGATGTCGAGTAAGTTCTGCTTGAAGACGAAAGGCATTCCCACATTCTTTACAGCTATAAGGTTTCTCACCAGTATGAAGTCTAAAATGTTGTGTAAGATGATACCGACGACTAAAGGTCTTTCCACATTCCTTACATTCATATGGAATCTCACCAGTGTGAATTCTTTGATGTAACGTAAGTCGATAACTGCAAATAAAAGCATTCCCACATTCATTACATATGTAGGGCTTCTCACCAGTATGGCCTCTGTGATGTTGAGTGAGATGATAGTGCCGACTGAACGTCTTCCCACATTCCTTACATTCATAGGGTTTCTCGCCAGTATGAATTCTGTGATGTTGCGTGAGATGAGTGCTACGAATAAAGGCCTTCCCGCATTCCGTACATTTATAGGGTTTTTCACCAGTATGAATTCTGTGATGCTGAGTAAGTTCTGTTTGAAATCGAAAGGCTTTCCCACATTCATTACATATGTAGGGTTTCTCACCAGTATGAATTTTAAAATGCTGAGTAAGATTATAGCGACGACTAAAAATCTTCCCACATTCTTTACATACGTAGGTGCTCTCACTGGTGTGAATTCGCTGGTGTGAAATAAATTGATTGCTATGAATAAAAGCCTTCCCACATTCCTTACATTCATAGGGTTTCTCACATGTATGAATTCTGTGATGTCGGGTAAGTTCGGCTTGAAGACGAAAGGCTTTTCCACATTCATTACATATGTAGGGTTTCTCACCAGTGTGAATTCTGTAGTGTTGGGTAAGATTATAGCGACTACTGAAGGTTTTTCCACATTCCTTACATTCATAGGGAATCTCACCAGTGTGAGTTCTCAGATGTAAAGTAAGTTGATAACCACAAATAAAGGCCTTCCCACATTCCTTACATTCATAGGGTTTCTCACCAGTATGAGTTCTATGATGCCGAGTAAGCTCTGTTTGAAGACGAAAGGCTTTTCCACATTCTTTACATTCATAGGGTTTCTCACCAGTATGAATTCTATGATGTCGAGCAAGTTCTGCATGAAAACTAAAGGACTTACCACATTCTTTACATTCATAGGGTTTTTCACCAGTATGAATTTTCTGATGTTGAACAAGGTATGAGCCATGACTAAAGGCCTTCCCACATTCATTACATTTATAGGGTTTGACACCAGTATGAATTTTCTGATGTTGACTAATATGTCGTTGTACCCTAAAGGTCTTGCCACAAACCTTACATTCATAAGGCCTCTCACCAGTATGAATTCTTTGATGTTCAGTTAGTTGATAATGAAGTCTAAAGGCCTTCCCACATTCTTTACATTCATAAGGCCTCTCTCCAGCATGAATTGTCTGATGTACTCTAAGGTCTCTAACACGACTAAAGGCCTTCCCACATTCCTTACACTCATAGGGTTTCACACCAGAATGTATTCTCTGATGTTCAGTAAGGTGATAATGAAGTCTAAAGGCCTTCCCACATTCTTTACATTCATAGGGTCTCTCCCCAGCATGGATTGTCTGGTGTACTCTAAGGTCTCCCACTCGACAAAAGGCCTTTCCACATTCCATACATTTATGGGGTCTCTCACCAGTGTGAATTCTCAGATGTTGAATAAGGTATGACTGTTGTCTAAAGGCCTTTCTACATTCCTTACATTCATATGATTTCTCTCTAGCATGAATTTTCAGATGTAGAGGATGAGATATTTGTTTTTGGATTATCATTTGACTAACACAACCCATCTGGTGTCCCTCTTGTCTCTCAAATTCATGTTTGCACTGCAAAGCATTTCTGAAAATGGTGTCCTCATGGATGGTGTTTTTACTTTTTTCCCCTGTATGCAATTGAGATAAATAGAGTTTGCAAACATTCTTTTCTGAAAGTAAATTCGTGGTGATATACTTGTATTCCAAATCTGCAAAAAAAAAAAAAAAAAAAAAAAAAAGGAAAGAAAGAAAGAAAAAAAAGAAAAAAGCAAACAAATGCTATAATGCTATTTTTCTGTGTTGGGGCAGGGATGGGGGTTGTACCTTATAGTAGAAATAAAAGATAAAACAGAAATAACATACATTAGAAATAAATGGTTTAGAGCAGGAGTTAATAAACTTTTTCTGTAAAAGACCAGATAGTGAAGGTGTTAGGCCTTGGGAGGCATATGGTCTCTGTCACAATTACTTAGCTCTGCTATTACAACACCAAGGTAGCCACAGATGATAATAAGTGTGGCTGTGTTATAATAACACTTGACTTATGGACACTGAAATTTGAATTTCAAAAAATGTTTACATGACACAAAATCTTGATTTTTTCAACCACTGAAAAAATGAAGAAACCAGTTGTAACTTATAAGCCATGCAAAAACGGGCAGTGAGGTATTTGGCTCATGGGCTATAGTTTGCTGGTTCCTAGCTTAGAGAACTCTAAATTATTGTAGTGCAATTTAAAAGAAGGCAAAACACCTCAGAAAATGATGTGACTTTTAAGAATGGTAAAATAGGCCAGGAGTGGTGGCTCATCCTGTAATCCCAGCACTTTGGGAGGCTGAGGCAGGTGGATCATGAAGTCAGGAGATCGGGACCATTCTGGCTAACATGGTGAAACTCCATCGCTACTAAAAATACAAAAAATTAGCCGGGCATGGTGGCAGGCACCTGTAGTCCCAGCTACTCGGGAGGCTAGGGCAGGAGAATGGCGTGAACCCAGGAGGCAGAGCGTGCAGTGAGCCAAGATTGCGCCACTGCACTCCAGCCTGGGTGACAGAGCAAGACTCTGTCTCAAAAAAAAAAAAGAATGGTAAAATAGGTGAGTAGGAGAATAGGGTACATCAGTGGTCCTCCTATTTAGGATGGATTTAGGGGAGTTTCTTACATATACTGTTGTTCAGGCACCAAACCAGACAAAATCAAAATCTATAGGCACAAGTCCTGGATATGTGCATTTAAAATCTTTTTCATCAAATAGCTTTGATGGGGATCATTTTGAAAATCTGTACATAATTCTTTTCCCTTTAAAATAGAGTTTCTCGTTCCCCTTACAATAAAACCCAAACATATTACCATGGATAAAAAGTCCTTTCTTATTTGTAAGACCTTTGCAAACCACCTCTGTAAATATTACAAACAAGTCACCGAGAAGGCAGCTAAGTATCATAACTTAATTTCCCCAAATTACAACATAGTTATGAATATACCTCCCTGATTCCAATCTCATCCTAGTCCAGCAATTAAATATGCTCTTTCCTAGATGACTTCCCTTCTGAACGGGAACAAAGGTATATCCAAAATTGCTCAGTCAAAAGTATAAATGGAAAAGTCATTTTTGTATTTCGTTATCTTCCAATTACCTATTGTCACCTTGAACATTAGGTATCTCCAAAACTGTTTACATTTGCCCTATGTGTGTGGCTACTGTTCCTTCTCTTTGTCTCTGTCCCATCTCAAGTACTGAGATATTTTATATGGTGAGCATCAGTTGTGTTTTATCATTACTCATTCACAGATCCTCAAACTCACTGCTAGTCAGTAACTACACTGCAGGTCCTGGCTAGTAGAGTGGCAAGGAGAAGAATACAGGCTTTAGAAAGGAGAAAAATAAACACCTTTATTCTCAGACATAGTAGGCTGAATTGTGGCCCCCAGGAAAGACATGTTCCTAACTCCCAGTGCCTGTGAATGTGACCTAATATTGAAAAAGGGTGGGCCCTAAATCCAATAACAGGTGTACTTATAAGAGCGAGGCATAGGGAGATCAAGAGAGGGTGCCATGAAGATGGAGGCAGAGACTGGAGCGATGCATCTGCAAGCCAAGGAATGCCAAGAATGGCCAGTAACTACTATTCTTTTCATGAATTGTTGGATTCAAATGGCTAAAACTTTCTCTAGAATTTTTGCATTTGTGTAAATGAAAGATACTGACTTATAGATTTCTTTTCTTATAATGCCTTTGTCTAGTTTTGGTATCAGGGTAATGCTGGACTTGAAGAGTGAGTTTGGAAGTATTCCCTTGTCTTAAAGTTTCTGGAAGACTTTGTGTACAATAGGTACACAAATGCAAAAATCTAAAACTATAAAATATCTAGAAAGGCTAGGGGCAGTGGCTCACGCCTGTAATCCCCGCACTTTGGAAGGCTAAGGTGGGCGGATCATGAGGTCAGGAGTTCGAGACTAGCCTGGCCAATATGGTGAAACCCTGTCTCTACTAAAAATATAAAAATTAGCTGGGCGTGGTGGCGGGCACCTGTAGTCCCAGCTACTAGGGAGTGAGGCAGAAGAATCGCTTGAACCTGGGAGGTGGAGGTTGCAGTGAGCCGAGACTGCCACTGCACTCTAGCCTGGGCGACAGAGAGAGACTCTGTCAAAAAAAAAAAAAAAAAATTTCTAGAAGAAAACAGAAAATTTTTGTACTTTTTTGTACTTTTTTTTTTTTTTTTGAGACGGAGTCTCGCTCTGTCGCCCAGGCTGGAGTGCAGTGGCGCGATCTCGGCTCACTGCAAGCTCCACCTCCCGGGTTCACGCCATTCTCCTGCCTCAGCCTCCCGAGTAGCTGGGACTACAGGCGCCCACAACCGCGCCCGGCTAATTTTTTTTGTATTTTTAGTAGAGACGGGGTTTCACCGTGGTCTCGATCTCCTGACCTTGTGATCCGCCCGCCTCGGCCTCCCAAAGTGCTGGGATTACAGGCGTGAGCCACCGCGCCCGGCAAAATTTTTGTACTTTTTATATTGGGCAAAGATTTCTTAAATATGATCTGAAAGGACAGTCCATAAGAGAAAAACGTGATAAACTGAACTTAATCAAATTAAGAGCTTATGCTATTCAGAAGACACTGTTAAGAGTTTACAGATCATACATTTGATAAAGGACTTACATCCAGAATATATAAGGGGCTCTCAAAACCCAATAATTAGCAAACAACCAATGCGATTAGAAAATGGGCAGAAGGCCAGGTACGGTGGCTCATGCCTTTAATCCCAGCACTTTGGGAGGCTGAAGCAGGTGGATCTGAGGTCAGGAGTTCAAGACCAGCCTGGCCAGTGTGGCGAAACCCCATCTCTACTAAAATACAAAAATTAGCTGGGCATGGTGGCACATGCCTGTGGTCTCAGCTACTTAGGAGGCCAAGGCAGGAGAATTGCTTGTACTCAAGAGGCGGAGGTTGCAGTGAGCCGAGGTTGCACCACTGCACTCCAGCCTGGGCAACAGAGCAAGACTCTGAAAAAAAAAAAAAAAAGAAAGAGAAAGAAAGAAAGAAGGAAGGAAGGAAGAAAGAAAGGAAGGCAGGCAGGCGAGCAGAAGACTGTAATAGATGCTTCACCAAAGAAGATATATGGATGATAAATTAAGAATAAAAAGTTGCTCAGGATTATTAGGCATTAGGGAAATGAAAATTAAAACCACAATATGATACCGTAACTCATCACCTATTAGCACAGCTAAAATTTAAAAGACTGCCCACACCAAGCGCTGACAAGAATGTGGAAGAACTGGAATTTTCATAAACTTCTGCTGGGAAAGTAAAAGGATACAACCACTTTCTTCTTTTTTTTTTTTTTTTCAGACATTATCTTGGTCTGTCACCCAGGCTGGATGCAGTGGCACAATCTCGGCTCACTGCAACCTCTGCCTCCAGGGTTCAAGTGATTCTCCTGCTTCAGCCTCCTGAGTAGCTGGGATTACAGATGCCTGCCACTATGCCTTTTTAGTAAAGATGAAGTTTCACCTTGTTGGCCAGGCTAGTCTTGAACTCCTGACCTCCAGTGATCCACCTGTCTTTGCCTCCCAAAGTGCTGGGATTACAGGCATGAGCCACCGCTACTGGCTGATACAACCACTTTCAAAAACAGTGTGGCAGTTTCTTAAAAAATAAACATATATTTATCATATGATCTACCCATTCTACCCCAGTAGTTACCCAAGATAAATGAAAGCATAAGTCTATACAAATAATTTTACATGAAAGTTTCCAGTAGCTTTATCTGTAATAGCCAAACACTGGAAATAACTCAATGTCCATCCCTATAGATAAATGGTAAGTAAATTGTGGTACATCCATACAATGGAATACTACTCAACAATAAAAAGGAATGAAGTACTGATACATACAGCAACATGGATGAATCTCAAAATAATTTTGCTGAGTGAATGATGCTAAATTTTAAAAATCACCATATTTTTAAAAAAGAAAGAAAAAAATCACCACATAATTCCGTTACACAAAATTCTAGAAAATGAAAACTAAGTTATAGTGACAGAGAGATGATCAGTGCTTACCTGGGCAGTGGGTAGAGAGGGACATGAGGGAGGGATTTATTTTGGAGGTGATGGATATGTTTATTATTTTGATTGTGTAATGGTTTCACAATATACAGGGTAACTTAGCAAATTTTATACTTTAAATGTGTGCAGTTTACTATATGCCAATTATATGTCAATAAAACTGTTTTAAAATATTATAAAAATTGAATGGGTATGGTGGCTCATGCCTGTAATCCCAGCACTTTGGGAGGCTGAGGTGGGTGGATCACCTGAGGTCGGGAGTTCGAGACCAGCCTGACCAACATGGAGAAACCCTGTCTCTACTAAAAATACAAAATTAGCCTGGTGTGGTGGCACATGCCTGTAGTCCCAGCTACTTTGGAGGCTGAGGCAGAAGAATGGCTTGAACCCAGGAGGTGGAGGTTGCTGTGAGCAGACAGCGTACCATTGCACTCCCGCCTGGGCAACAAGAGTGAAACTCTGTCTCAAAAAAAAAAAAAAAGTTATAAAAATTGACACTTAAAATGAGTACATTTTATATTACATTAATTATACCTCAACATATATGATTAAAAAAATACGCTGGTTGGCTGGGTGGCTCACTCCTGTAATCCCAGCACTTTGGGAGGCCAAGGTGGGTGGATCACAAGGTCAGGAGATCGAGACCATCCTGGCTAACATGGTGAAACCCCATCTCTACTAAAAATACAAAAAAAAAAAAAATTAGCCGGTGTGGTGGCAGGGGCCTGTAGTCCCAGCTACTCGGAAGGCTGAGGCAGGAGAATGGCGTGTACCCAGGAGGTGGAGCTTGCAGTGAGCCGAGATGGCACCACTGGACTCCAGCCTGTGCAACAGAGCAAGACTCTGTCTCAAAAAAAAAAAAAAATACACTTGTCCTATGACCCAGAAATTCCACTTCCATATATTCCCAAGAAAAATGAACACCCAAGAGAAATGAAAACATCTGAACACAAAAACAATTGTGCAAGCATGTTCACATCAGGTGGCATAATCTGCTTTGGGAATAAACACAGATGGTTCATCTCAGAACCTTTGCATTTGCAGCTTTTTCTGCTTGTAATGTTCTTCCTCAATATTCACATGGCCTGAGACCTTACTTTATGTCTCTGGTTCAAATATCATCACCTCAAAATGGCCTTTCCTGATCTTACCTAAATTAGCCCTACTAACTCCCCAACACTCTAGCTCCTTACTCTGCTTAACTTTCTTCACAACACATATGAAAACCTGATTATTATCTGTTTACTTATTGACAAAATGTTTCTATAATATCAACATCTCTACGACAACAAGAGTGTCTCCCAATAGTGCCTAATCTCTAGCACAGTGCTTGGCTTAGGTTAGGTAAATGGGAAATATTTGATGAATAAAACTTGGACAATGGAGGAATGAAGATAAATCAAAATGTAAAAGGAGACCTGGAAACAAAGGTAAAATGGTCATCGATGGGGAAGAAAGAAAGCACCCCCACTTTGAAAGAGGAGAGAAATATGAGAGAAGAGAAACAAGGAGTATGGCAAATTGGGTAAAGTTCCTTTAGTAGCTAATGTGGAGAGAACCTGAATGCTTCTCAGGTATCAGTCCTTTCTCCACAGGTCTCAAGCCTTTGAAGGGAGCTTTCCAAACAACTCAGTGCTGTGCCTCCTCCCTGACACCATGGGTCATAACTTGTGATAGCACCCTCCTGCCTGATTTGCTGTCACTCACCTGTGTACCAACTCCTTGTCCCTTCCCTCATTACTATCCAGGGCTCTTTCTGTTGCTCCAATAAAGTAATCACATCTGGCTTAGGAATGGTATATCCTGCTCACAAGAAAAGAAACGACACATGTTGTAGAAAAACACAAAAACAACCATAACCTTGACATGACAATTCACACTTGGTTACATCTGTAAGAAACTGCAGGTGAAAATGGTACTAGATAATGCCATGACAGCAAAGAAGAAAAAGGCCATTTAAGAAGATTCACGTTAACATGGTCTCACAATTACAGGACTAAAGAGACAAGGTAAGAGAGCGAAAAGGTCTGCTTTGCTGTTGAAGGCAATACAGAGAGGGCACCAGTGAGCACGCCCTCTGGAGCCCTATGGCCTGGGTTCAAATCTTCTGCCACCTACCAGCTGTGTGACCGTGAAAGTTACCCTCCACATGTTCACTTTTATCAAATGCAAAATGGGGCTGATATTACTGACTTCTTAGGGCTGTGGTGAGAATTAAATGAATTAATATATGCAAAGGCATAAAAATATGCCCAGTATATAGTATTATTTTGTTGTTGTTACTATTTTCCTAGGAGAAATATACTAAGTTTCCTAAAACATTTCCAGGTTCTTCCTCGGATATTCCTTCAACGGAAAACGTAAATTCACAGACTTTAACTTTCAAAGGCAAAGCAGGTTAAGGAGAATATGTCTCCTCTAGGATGGGGTGTGTTGGCTTGAATTTTAAATGGCTATTGTTAACTCTATCCACCACTGTATAATCCATAGAGGTTCTTTTGATAATTCAGGAAAACTAGAATTCTGAGACTAGCTGTTGTCTTGTAGGAGGGTCAGGTATTAACACAGAGCAGCTATAGGAATTCTGAGTATACGCATTATATGAAATCTGGTTTCTCTGAAAATTTCACACAGCTCAAACCTGGAAATTATCTAGAAAAGCAAGCAATAACAGGAAGAGTCAGAGGGAGGAGTGAATGTCACTGAGGGACAGAAAGGTGAAGTTGCTTAACACAGGTGCCCATTTCCACCCCAACACTGCTGAAACTATGACTTTAGAAATAGGGGGAGTCAGTCGGCTTCTTAAAGCAGAGTTCTGAAGTTTGACAGTGGAGAAAGCTGATACTCCAGAAAACAGATTGTAAACGGTTTTGGCAGATACCTTACCCAGTGAGACCAGGTTGCTGTAGTTCTCCAACATCACATCCTTGTACAAGTCCCTCTGTGCAGGGTTCAGGCATTCCCACTCCTCTTGGGAGAGGTCTATGGACACATCCCTAAATGCCAAGGATACCTGAAACGACAAGCCTATGTATTTAAAAAAATTAAATGTATTTTCAAGATGGAAAACTGCTTTGCAGGAAAGAAGCAACATAGTAAGCAAATAAACTGGGGCTCAAGCCTGCAACGTGTATAAAAGAATAAGGAAATTAATACTTCTGAAATAAAGTGTTTATATGCTTTTAAAGAATATTGTTGATGCAAATTAAGTGAAATAGCATGAATAAGCACATTGCCCATTATGTGCCTGCAGTTTAAGTTCTGAATAAATGCAAGTTCCATCATCCTCTCTTCCCTTCAAAAAATTTTTGGAAAAAGAATTTTTTCACCAAAAAGTATTCTAAAATCTTTCTTAGAAAACAGGATTTGACTGACATTATGTGATTTCGTTAAAACTCAGGTTCATCATGATGCAAAATAACCTCATAAGAAAAGTCTTCGGTTGGTATATTTATTGGCTAGCTAATAATATTATCCATCTTGTGGATTCAGCAGACTAATTCTTCTTTTATTCTTAGGCATTTGGGTTGGCCAAAATGTTTAAGGTCTTCCCCAATCCTGTTTCCACCCATCATTAGGGATCAGAGCCTATTTCCAGCCATCATTAGGGATTGAAGGATCTTCCTATCTGCTACTCCTGCCATACCTCAGGAACAAATTGCTTTGTTCCTAAGCCAGAGGATGCTGACGTATCCACAATGACACTGATGTCACTGGAGACCAGCATAACCTCCTCAACCACAAAATTGACTTTTGTTTTCTTATTCATCCCTTGGAGATTCCCTGGCTGGATCACTGAAACTACCATATGGAGGCCCCAGTCATACTCCAACCTAGTCCTCTAAGCCATGCATGGGATCTCACCTCTGCCTCTGAGGCTGACATGGAAGACAATGTTTGAGTCTCTGCAGAAGACAAAACACTGAACACTAAATCCCATCCCATCCACCCACAAAACTCAGGTCTGTGCAGTCTAATGGGACCACCATCTGTGTGCCATAGAACCACGACTCCTGGTCAGGTGCGGTGGCTCACACCTGTAATCCCAGCACTTTGGGAGGCTGAGGCGGGTAGATCATCTGAGGTCAGGAGTTTGAGACCAACCTGGTCAACATGGTGAAACCCCATCTCTACTAAAAATACAAAAGTAAGCCAGGTATGGTGGCGGGTGCCTGTAATCCCAGCTACTTGGGAAGCTACTTGAGAATCACTTGAACCCGGGAGGCGGAGGTTGCAGTGAGCCGAGACATCACCACAGCACTCCAGCCTGGGCGACAGAGCAAGGCTCTGTCTCAAAAAAAAAAAAAAAAAAGAATATGACTCTGATGACAGAAACTCAAATATTTCCCTTGACGGACTTCATCTTTCACTGCTCCATCAGCACTCCTGAGAGAAGACCGGGTTCATAGATGAATGATCAATAAGTGAGCACAGATAAGAGAAAACAGGAGCAAACAAGGAAGACACTAGGCTATTTGGGACTATCCTTCACTGTGATCAGAGTAACTAGGGAGCAGGTTCCACAGCAGGGCGGTCTTAGGAAGGAAGTCTCATGATAATGAGACTTCAATGATCACATGAATTTTAAAACACAGTATTTCAAGGAAGAAAAACACAAGCTTACATCAGCCATGGTTTTAGAACGGCAAGAACTTGTCAGTTCTCCTTGGGCTTCCTCCATGGAGAAGCACAGAATCCAGAGAAGCCGAGGCTGGGGAAAGAACAAGTGACTCTGAGACCAGATGTGTCTCAGAACTCCTAAAATGACTTAAGTTAATAAGATCTTGTTTTGCCATCATTTCTACTTCCAACCCCACCATTCTGCACCTATAAACCGGGGAAGACAACAGGGAACTCAGACAAAGCCAAACCCTTCCTATACCATGAGAAACCACCTGTGCAAGTGTAGATACAGAGTAGAGGCTTCCTGCATGAAGCACGACCAGGAGCTCCAGCAGAACGGTCTCTGGCTCACTTCAACTTCTGGATGCTGCTGATCTGTAGCTGAGACTGAATTGTTAGGTCCTGACTTGAGCAGATCCTCTTCCACCCATGCCCACCTTAGGACTGAGAAGGGGCCACCCATTCAAACCCAAATATCATTCATGGCTTGGCTATCTGCCTGGACTCCACAGACAGGAAGGCAGAAGACAGTGGGCAGCCCTTCTCACCGCAAAACTGCACTTGCCCAAGTGTAGCCCTTCCCCAGCTAGAACTACAGTCCCCAGAATCCTCTGTTTCCAACCAATTTCCTAACTGAGTTCCCAATCACGAACATCTATGAATTCACTGACCACTCCAATATCTCAATATCAAGGCCGGGGTGGTGTAAATTCATGCCCATGGTTGCCAGGTGATGACAACAAAAATTGCTATTTTTAGGATCTTCTGCATGATGGGTCCTTCATCATATCAACATTTAACCATGCCATGCATTTATCTCCATTCAACAGATGAGGTAATAAGGGCTTAAAATAAAGTACCTTGCCCAAAATCACAGTTAGTAAGAGACAGAGCTGAGTTCTGAATCCACATTTCTCTAATTATAAAGCCAATTATCTTTTGTTTTTGGAGACAGGGTCTTGCTCTCAATTCTGGCTTTTGCCTCTGAAGCCCAGAATTTTTTCAAATGAAACTTATGCATGGGCAATTCACTAAAAATAGCAGCATATCATCCACTGAAGTTATTAAATTTCAATACAATGAAGCAGATCCTAATTAAGGAAATACCAGTTGACAGTTATTAGAATGGCAGACTTAAAAGATTAACAATATGCCAGATGAGCAACATCACAGGGAAATGAATACCGCGTAAATGCTACAGATTTGTAGGACCTTAAAACATGGCATGTAGAAGGATGTGAGAGACTTTTGCCATCCAAACGTAATTCTGGGACTCTACCCAAAGCAAATGATTGTAAATGTGTATTAAGATGCCTGCAGGTTAGGCCAGGCACGGTGGCTCACACCTGTAATCCTAGCACTTTGGGAGGCCAAGGCGGGCAGATCATTTGAGGTCAGGAGTTCGAAACCAGCCTGGCCAACATGGTGAAACCCTCTCTCTACTAAAAATACAAAAATATTAGCTAGGCATGGTGGCACATGCCTGTAATCCCAGCTACTTAGGAGGCTGAGGCAGGAGAATCGCTTGAACCTGGGAGGCAGAGGTTGCAGTGAGCTGAGATCGCGCCACTGTACTTCAACCTGGGTGACAGAGCAAGGCTCTGTCTCAAAAAAAAAAAAAAAAAAAAAAAAAAAAAAAAGATGCATGCAGGTTAGGGGTGTAAAAGGCTTATTGGAAAAAAACAAAAATAAAAACGATGCACGCAGGGAGGGTGGAATTCAGCATTCTGAGTCCAGCAATAGCTGATTGGTTAGGTAAGTTACAGATCATCTATGTAACAGAATAGTAAACAGACATTAAATACTATACTAAATTGGAGAAAATATATAAAGGATTTGGGAAATATCCAAGATATGTCCTAAATAAAAAATAAGGTTAAAACCCAGAATGTACAATATGATTACATTTGTGAAAAATACACACACACATACGTAAAGAAAGAATGAAGGACAGGCAAAAACCAAGAGAGAGAAAAAAGTTAAAAAATGTATATATCCATATGTCAGCACTGCCGAGCTGCATGACATTACTTGATATAGTTTTAAAGTATAATCTGTAACTTTTAAAAACAATTTAGGCTGGGTGCAGTGGCTCACGCCTGTAATCCTAGCACTTTGGGAGGCCGAGGCAGGTAGATCACCTGAGGTCAGGAGTTCGAGGCCAGCTGGGCCAACATGGCGAAACTCCATCTCTACTAAAAAATACAAATATTAGCTGGGCGTGGTGGCACATGCCTGTAATCCCAGCTACTCGGGAGGCTGAGGAAGGAGAATCACTTGAACCCGGGAGGTGGAGGTTGCAGTGAGCTGAGATCGTGCCACCACAGTCCGGCCTGTGCAACGGGAGCAAGACTCATCTCAAAAAAATAATAATAATTTAAAATATACACACAGGCAGATATATGTACTTATTTTTCATTTTGATAAGAGAAAGCCTTTCCTTTTTTGAACAATCTCCTATGAACTCCCAAGGCCTGTGACCTGAATTTCTTTACTGTTTTTTATTACCTTCTACATTATACTTATTCAGTCTATTCTGATTTTAGACTCTGCTGTGCAGAAGCACTTATGTGTTTTCAGTTCTCGTATTCCTCTAATTACTAACACAAGATTCAGTATACTGTGAGCCCTTATATCTGACATTTGACTAAAATTCCATTTTTAGGCATTTTTTTCTTGAAAGTGATTATTAAAGCATATAAAGACATATACATAAGATAGTTACCACATAACAACTTATAATAATCAAATATTAAAAACACTAATAGCTGCCGGGCGCGGTGGCTCACGCCTGTAATCCCAGCACTTTGGGAGGCCGAGACGGGCGGATCACGAGGTCAGGAGATCGAGACCATCCTGACTAACATGCTGAAACCCCGTCTCTACTAAAAATACAAAAATTAGCCGGGCGCGGTGGCGGTGCCTGTAGTCCCAGCTACACGGGAGGCTGAGGCAGGAGAATGGTGTGAACCCGGGAGGCGGAGCTTGCAGTAAGTGGAGATCGCACCACTGCACTCCAGCCTGGGCGACAGAGCGAGACTCCGTCTCAAAAAAAAAAAAAAGCCGGGCGCGGTGGCTCACGCCTGTAATCCCAGCACTTTGGGAGGCCGAGGCGGGCGGCTCACAAGGTCAGGAGATCGAGACCACGGTGAAACCCCGTCTCTACTAAAAATACAAAAAAAAATTAGCCGGGCGCGGTTGTGGGCGCCTGTAGTCCCAGCTACTCGGGAGGCTGAGGCAGGAGAATGGCGTGAACCCGGGAGGCGGAGCTTGCAGTGAGCCGAGATCGCGCCACTGCACTCCAGCCTGGGCGACAGAGCGAGACTCCGTCTCAAAAAAAAAAGAAAAACAAAAAAAAAAAACAAAACACTAATAGCTATAGTAGGCAGCAGGTTAAATAAACTATGGTCAGTTATGATGACACACCAAGGCCTTACTAATACTAATTATATTGGTCCACATTTATTTTTGGAGGAAGACATCAATGATGAGTTACTAACTGATACAGGCAAATTAAAGGAGCATGTGCCATTATGGGCAGGGTTATAACGTTGTCATTAATAACACAGACTCTGTTGTCAGATTTTCAGAATGTGAATCTTAGTCTGACAGCTACATACTTCTCAGTTAGTTTGCTGGTAAATTAGGGATAAGAACAGCACCTATCTCACAGGCTTGTCATGAAGATTGAGATAATACATATATCCCACTTAATGATACACAATTACATAATAAAAGTTAGCCAGTATTGGCCGGGCGCGGTGGCTCATGCCTGTAATCCCAGCACTTTGGGAGGCTGAGGAGGGCGGATCATGAGGTCAGGAGACGAGACCATCCTGGCTAACATGGTGAAACCCCGTCTCGACTAAAAATACAAAAAAATTAGCTGGGCATGGTGGCGGGCGCCTGTAGTCCCAGCTACTAGGGAGGCTGAGGCAGGAGAATGGCATGAACGGGGGAGGTGGAGCTCGCAGTGAGCCGAGATGGCGCCACTGCACTCCAGCCTGGGTGACAGAGCGAGACCCCGTCTCAAAAAAAAAAAAAAAAAAAAAAAAAAAAGTTAGCCAGTATTATTAAAATAGAGGACATTATGTCCTTCATTCCATTGCTATTAAATAAAATCATTTTATTTCATTTCATTTTTTCTAGTAAAGTTTGAGTCTCATGCCCATTTTTTAATAATTATATTTTAAGTATTTTAGAGCTAAGCCTTGAAGATGCAATTATTTTTAATGAACAACATTCATAAAACAGACTCCCAGAAGGATAATCAAGAAATCTCTTCTTGGTTGGGTGCAGCGGATCACACTTGTAATCCCAGCACTTTGGGAGGCCGAGGTGGGTGGATCACCTGAGGTCAGGAGTTCGAGACCAGCCTGACCAACATGGTGAAACCCCCATCTCTACTAAAAATACAAAAATTAGCCGAGTGTGGTGGTGCGCGCCTGTAATCCCAGCTACTCTGGAGGCTGGGGCAGAAGAATTGCTTGAACCTGGGAGGTGGAGGTTGCAATGAGCTGAGATTGTGCCACAGCACTTCAGCCAGGGCGACAGACTGAGACTTCATTTTGGGAAAAAAAAAAAAAAGAAAGAAAAGAAATCTCTTTTATTCTTGCAACTACCAAAGGGGAGACATCATTCTTCAATATAAAACTAGCTAAAATAATCTAATTAAGGCAGGGGTTCCCAACCCCCAGGTCACTGACTGATACTAGGCCATGGCCTATTAGGAACTGGGTCACACAGCAGAAGGTGAGTAGCAGGCCAGCAAGGGAAGCGTCATCAGTATTTACAGCTACTCCCCATTGCTAGCATGAACCGCTTGATCTCTGCCTCCTGTCAGATCAGCTGCAGCATTAGATTTTCACAGGAGTGCGAACCCTATTATGAATTGACCATGCGAGGGATCTAGGCTGCGTGCTCCTCATGAGAATCTAATACCTAATGATCTGTCATTGTCTCCCATCACTCCCAGATGAGACCATCTAGCTGCAGGAAAACAAGCTCAGGGCTCCCACTGATTCCACATTATGGTGAGTTGTATAATTATTTAATTACACGTTATAATGTAATAATAATGGGAATAATATGCACAATAAATGTAACGTGCTTGAATCATCCTGAAACCATCTCCCTGTCCCTGTCTGTGAAAAAATTGTCCTCCATGAAACCAGTCCTGGTGTCAAAAAGGTTGGGGGCTACTGTAATAAGGCCTTCAATAGATAACTTTAATATGAGGTTCAATCTTGTTCTCCTGTTCTATATGTAAAGATTTACATAAATATTTATAGCTGTTACCATCTTATTCTGTTTTCTTTCTTTCTTTCTTTTTTTTTTTTTTGAGACAGAGTCTCACTCTGGAGTCACCCAGCCTGGAGTGCAGTGGTGCTATCTCGGCTCACTGCAACCTCCCGGGTTCAAGCAATTATCTGCCTCAGCCTCCTGAGCAGCTGGGATTACAGGTGCCCGCCACCACACTTGGCTAATTTTTGTATTTTTAGTAGAGACCGGGTTCCACCATCTTGTCCATGCTGGTCTTGAACTCCTGACCTTGTGATCCACCTGCCTTGGCCTTCAAAAGTGCTGGGATTACAGGCACGAGACACCACTCCTGGCCTTATTCTGTTTTCTACTGTTATAAATCTGTCCTAGAAAATGCTATCTGCATAATGGAACCCTAAAAAAAAACCTAGCCAAGATAAGAATATTGCTATGTCCTGTAAAAGCAACCTTAAAAATCTAAAAAAAAGCAGTATAATTCTGAAGAACTGTCTTATTTGATAAATTGTGTCATTTTAATTATCCTTAATTGGTTTATATAACCCTAAAAGGTGTAAATTTCTCAAAGGTTAATGAAACTTAGCAGGATTCATTGGTGTCCTTCTCTTCTCCCTTTGTGCACAGAGATATAAGAAAGCTATGGTTTAGGGAGAATTAATTTTTCTAACTAGGAGCTAGAAAGTCTTGTGTCCTTTGAATAATTTGTTAGTGCAATTTCTATTCTGCAGGAAGAAAAGTGCAGGTATGTGTGTGCACACACACACGCACACACACAAAGTGCGCTGAAAAATCTTGCTAAAATAGGTCAGGCATGGTGGCTCACACCTGTAATCCTGGCACTTTGGGAGGCTGAGGCAGGTGGATCACCTGAGGTCAGGAGTTCGAGACCAGCCTGGCCAACATGGTGAAACCCCGTCTCTACTAAAAATACAAAAAATTAGCTGGGCATGGTAGCAGGGCCTGTAATCCCAGCTACTTAGGAGGCTGAGGCAGGAGAATTGCTTGAACTTGGGAGATGGAGGTTGCAGTGAGCCAAGATCGCACCATTGCACTCCAGCCTGGGCAACAGAGCGAGACTCTGTCAAAAGAAAAAAAAAAAATGTTGCTAAAATATAGCTCCCCAAAGTATTAACAGTAAGCCTGGGGCTATTTTAACTTTCTTCTTTATAAGTCCCTTATATAATATAACTGAGTAACTAAATAATTTATAAAAGGTGAACATTAATTCTATAACCAGAAGTATACAATAAATCTGTATCCAATTATAAAGTAAAATGTTTTAACACATCAGAAGCAAGTTGGTTTGACATGTATGGAAACAGTAGGAAAACAGTGTGACCATTATAAATAAATGCCTACCAGTTCTTGAACATTCTTCTTCAATTCAACAAGACCTTTTCACTATTAAGATTCTTCTCTTAATACATAAGCCAGGTGAACAGCATCTGCAGACTGAATAAGAAAATTTGAGCAAAGCAGACAGAAGAGTGTTTGGTTCTTCTCTACTTCTCCAGCAAGTAATCAGTTGAAATGTTTAGATATAATCCTTGTTAAATGTCTTTAAATCCTAATATTAGTGAGATTCATATAAAATTTAAAATTTGCAGCTGGGTGCGGTGGTTCATGCCTGTAATCCCAGCATTTTGGGAGGCTGAGGCAAGTTGATAACCTGAGGTCAGGAGTTCAAGACCAGCGTGGCCAACATGGTGAAACCCCATCTCTACTAAAAATACAAAAATTAGCCGGGTGTGGTGGCAGGTGCCTGTAATCCCAGCTACCTGGGAGGCTGAGGCAGGAGAATCACTTAAACCCAGGAGGCGGAGGCTGCAGTGAGCCGAGTTCATGCCATTGCACTCCAGCCTGGGCGACAGAGCAAGACTCCATCTCAAAAAAAAAAAAAAAATGCATATGATTCTTCATTACTATGACTATTACTTTACTTATATGTACTTTTTATTCTTATAACTAACACTGTATAAACATAAATCTCAACTCAGGGATTCCTTGGAAAAAAATCCCTGCTCATGTTCACACAGATTTCTATACTTGGACCTCCAATCACATTCCCACTTCTAAAAGCCTTGAAAACAGGCAACCATTATCACCTGCTTACTGACACCAGTCAGGTCATCTCTAATCCTGTCATACTTCAAAACTGAGGTCTTTGGAGAAGATTGGAGAAGACGGATGATGTGATTCTACCTAAACATTAATCTCAATAAAACAAAGTTTTAACTTTAGACTCCAAGATATGCATTTCTCTACCATTATAGAAAGCGAGTGCAGAGGAATGATTTGAAAAATGAGAAGGTCATTTGGAGGCCCGTGAAGAGGAGGGTCCACCTGCATGGTCCATTGTTCACTGGAAAGGAAGGCCTGGGATAGGTCACTGGACAACTCAGGAAAAGCAAAGCAATGTTTCCATCTCCTCAAAATAAAAACACTTTATGCATTTATTTAAAGATTTATTTCAAGATATGGACCAGAGAGTTGCAATTTATGTGCCAAATAATTTTGTCTTTTTCGATTGAATCAAATGAACTTTTTCAAAGGGAAAAATGCAAATGAAAGCCACAGAAAGTACCTGGGGATGTGATTTTTGTGACTGTGAGCAATGAGGTGACAGGCTCTGCGGTAGATTGTGGCTTTGCTTGACATAGCAGTGTGGTACCATACCGTATGACCGGGTGCAGGCAAGGCTGTGTGAAGATTAGAATGTGTGATTTCCATTTCATGAACAAAAAGGAAATATAAACTTACCTGGACCTGAACTTTTAGACCTGCTACAACAATTGTTCCCTCCTTTTCAGGATCCTTGTTTTGATGAATGGCAGGATGGGGGAAGAAAAAAAATCATGAGACAGCAGGCTTTTTCTTAGAGCACAGACCAACCTAGAATATCCCCTCCAGCGCTACATCTGCGCTGACCTCACGCCCATAACAGCTGTGTGAGAGTGAGGCTGGGATGTGTCTCTGAACTCACACCAGATTTCTAGATCAAAGTTATGGGAATGCAGTGGTTCTGAAAAATGCAGCTGCCCACACAGCGGCTCCAACTGGGCGCTCTTCCAACCTGTCGTCCCAGGAGTCTGTTTTAGGGACACTTCTAATTCAAAAGTCCAATCGCCAACCCAGGTCTGTACCTTCTTGCTGGGAACCTTCATCCCAGAGCTCAATATTTGACTTCCCTCTTGGGGACAATGCTCTGTGCAGACACCGAGGCCGTGAGGGGAGTAGAGGGTCAGTGACACACACCAGAGGGCCAGGCACTTGTCTCAACCTCACATCCGCACCCGCACCCACCCAACCCGGTCCTGACAGGCGCCCCATAGCGCGCACACGCACACATACACCGTCTGCCACATTTTGTCACACAATCCCCCTTCTCCGCTCCCCACGCACGCACAGGCCTGAGGCTCCCTCCGGGCACGACACGCCAGGTCTTGGCCCTGGAGCGCCTCATTTTGGGTGGCAGTTCCAACCCCAGTCCTACTCGTAAGAGTCCCGTTCCGCCTCACCCAGCTCGGACTTCTTGCCTGCCTGTGAATAAAGTACCCAGGCGGCTGAACCCTTAAGAACGCAATGTAAAGGGCCCTCGGGGTCCAGGCAACACTGCCCAAGCGGCTTCTGGGAAATGTAGTCCACAGCCGGAAATGGTTCTCTTGGGCGGAGGCGGAGGCGCAGGCGCGCGCGCATCCGGCGGTTTCGCTCCACATCCCGGGAAGCCACGCAGGAAGCTGAGGAGGAGGATAGACGCTTCTGGGCCCCTCGCCAGGCCACTTGAGCGTGGGACCGCCGAGTGCAACCCTGAGGCCGAGTGCGTGCGTACTGGGCGATAGCTCCGCCAGGCAGGGTTTTGTCTGTTTCACCCCTTGAGGTAGTCCCGGCGTCTGGTACATAGTAGGCGCTCAATACGTGTATTGTAAAGAATGGGTGCCTGGCCATTTGTATTTGCCTTGTGAGCGCGTGCGTGGGGCACCGTGAGGGTTGCGGGACCGACGGAGCCTCTCTGGCTGTGGCGGGACCGACGGAGCCTCTCTGGCTGTGGCGGGACCGACGGAGCCTCTCTGGCTGTGGCGGGACCGACGGAGCCTCTCTGGCTGTGGCGGGACCGACGGAGCCTCTCTGGCTGTGGCGGGACCGACGGAGCCTCTCTGGCTGTGGCGGGACCGACGGAGCCTCTCTGGCTGTGGCGGGACCGACGGAGCCTCTCTGGCTGTGGCGGGACCGACGGAGCCTCTCTGGCTGTGGCGGGACCGACGGAGCCTCTCTGGCTGTGGCGGGACCGACGGAGCCTCTCTGGCTGTGGCGGGACCGACGGAGCCTCTCTGGCTGTGGCGGGACCGACGGAGCCTCTCTGGCTGTGGCGGGACCGACGGAGCCTCTCTGGCTGTGGCGGGACCGACGGAGCCTCTCTGGCTGTGGCGGGACCGACGGAGCCTCTCTGGCTGTGGCGGGACCGACGGAGCCTCTCTGGCTGTGGCGGGACCGACGGAGCCTCTCTGGCTGTGGCGGGTTGTGTTTCCGCATGTGTGTAATTTGAGTGTGAGTCGGTGTGTAGTGAGTGAAGGGATCTGACTGGAGAAAACCACAGAAAGTACCCGGGGCTGTGATTTTTGTGACTTTGGCCAATGGGACGACAGGCTCTGTGGTAGATGGTGGCTGTGCTTGACGTAACAATGTGGTACTATGCCGTGTGACTGGGTTGCCGGCAAGGCTACGTGAAGGTGAGAATGTGTGATTTGGAAAATCTGGGTGTGGAACGTCACGGGTGCCAGTGGAATTGTGACTCTGTGTATAAAAGTTTGCAACCATAGGCCTATATGTCTGTGGAATAAAGATAATATGTTGCATCTTCTTGGAGTATCAGCTTTATTTAAAGATTTGGATCAGAAAGTTGCAATTTATATGCCAAAGAAATTTGTCTTTTTATATTGAATCAAATGAATTTTTTACAAAGAGAAAAATGAAAATAATAGTACCTTTTAAAAGTTATTAAGAATTTCCTTCCACTTTTCTATTCTGGCAATGGGTCTTTGGCAGATCGATTTGAAAAGCTTGGACTGAGGAAATTATACTTGGAAAGCACATTAGGCAGTCAGCCCTTGGTTCCTAAATACACCATGCTCCACTGAAAGGAGCAAGGCTCCATGGAGAAATGGCGGATTCCAGAGCTGGGAAAGGGAAAGTTCAGAATGAACTTGGAACATCTCGTGCTAGAAAGTAAGGAAGTGCTCAAAGAATGGTGGGGACGAGTTCAAAGGACATGGAAACCAGATTGAAGGGACTTCCACTGACCAAACTTGACATGGTTTGAGCATCAAAATAAATAATGCTAGTTATAGATTAAAACCCATTAAATAACAAAGGGAATCATAATTCCAAACTGATATAAATTAGTAAGTGAAGAAAATAGAAAGTTTGATGAGGGACTGGATGTTTACATTGTTGCAAAGAACCCCCACCCCGCCAAATCCCTTAAAAATGTGTCCTTATAAGGCTGGGGGCGGTGGCTCATGCCTACAATCCCCGCACTTTGGGAGGCCAAGGCCGGCGGATCATGAGGTCAGGAGTTTGAGACTAGCCTGACCAATATGGCGAAACCCTGTCTCTACTAAAAAAATACAAAAATTCGCCAGGCGTGGTGGTGTGTGCCTGTAATCCCATCTACTCAGGAGGCTGAGGCAGGAGAATTGCTTGAACCCAGGAGGCGAAGGTTGCAGTGAGCCTAGATCATGCCACTGCACTCCAGCCTGGGCAACAGAGTGAGACTCCATCTTAACAACAACAACAAAAAGGTGTCCATATGAAAAAAATGCTCAACATTACTAATCATCAGAGGAATGCACATTAAAACCACACTGAGATACCACCTCACAGTGTTAGAATAGCTATAATCAAAGAGACAAAAGACAACAAGGGTCGGTGAGGATATGGATATAAGGGAACCCTTGTACTCTGTTTGTAGGAATGTAAATTAGTACAGACATTATAGAAAATATCCGGAGGTTTCTCAAATTAAAAATATAACCACTATATGACCCAGCCATCCCACTACTGGGTATATATCTGTATTAGTCTATTCTTGCATTGCTATAAAGAAAACCCGAGACTGAGTAACTTATAAAAAAAGATGTTGAACTGGCTCATAGTTCTGCAGGCTGCACAGGAAACAGTGGCATCTGCTTTTGAGCAGGCCTCAGGAAGTTTCCAATCATGGTGGAAGGCAAAATGGGAGCAGACACATCACATGGTGAAAGCAGGAGCAAGAGAGTGAGGAGGGAGATGCTACACACGTTTAAATGTCCAGATCTCATGAGAACTCACTATCATGAGGATGGAAACAAAGGGGTGCTAAGCCATTTATGAGAAATCTGCTCCCATGATCCAATCACCTCCCACCAGTCCCTACTTCCAATATGTGGATTACATTTCAGTATGAGATTTGGGTTGGGACACACATCTAAACAATATCATTCTGTGCCTGGCCCCTCTCAAATCTCATGGACTTCTCACATTTCAAAATACAATCTTGCCTTCCCAACAGTCCCCCAGACTCTTAACAAATTCCAATGTTAACTCAAAAGTCTGCAGTCTGAAGTCTCATCTGAGACAAGGCAAGTTCTTCCCACCTATGAGCCTGTAAAATCAAAAACAAGTTAGTTACTTCCAAGATACAATGGGGGTACAAGCATTAGATAGACATTCATGTTCCAAAAGGGAGAAATTGGCTAAAAGAAAGAGGCTACAGGACCTATGCAAGATCAAAACCCAGTAGGGCAGTCATTACATCTTAAAGCTCTGGAATAATCTTTGACTCCATGTCCCATGTCCAAGGTACACCAGTTTAAGGGATGGGCTCCCAAGGCCTTGGGTAGTTCTTCTCCTGTGGCTTTGCAGGGTTCAGGCTCAGAGGTTGCTCTCATAGGCTGTTGAGTGCCTGTGGCTTTTCCACACTGATAGTGTAAACTGCCAGTGGATCTGCCATTCTGGGATCTGGAAGATGGTGGCCCTCTTCTCATAGCTCCACTAGTCAGTGCCCCAATATGTACTCTGTGTGAAGGTTCCAACCCCACATTTCCTTTTTGCACTGCTCTAGTAGAGGTTCTCTGTCAAGGCTTAGCCCCTGCATCAGGCTTCTGCCTGGACACCTTGGCTTTTCCATATATCCTCTGAAATCCTAGATGGAGGCTCCCAGGCCTTATTCACACTCTGTGCACCTGCAGGCTTAAGACCATGTGGAAGCCACAAAGACTTATGGCTTGCAACCTTTGGAGCTGCAGTCTGAGCTGTACCTGGGCCCTTTTAAGTCACAGCTGGAGTTGGAGAAGCCAGGATGCAGGGAGACATGTCCTGAGGCTGCATAGGTCACTCCTGGCCTATGTAACCATTCTGTCCTCCTAGGCCTCGGGGCTTGTGATGGGAGGGGCTGCCTCTTAGATCTCTGAAATGCCTTAGAGGCCTGTTTCCCATTTCTTGGCTATCTGCACTTGCCTCGTTTTTAGTTAGGCAAATTTCTTTAGCAAATGGTTGCTCAGAAACCTTGAATTCTTCTGAAAATGAGCTTTTCTTTTCTACCACATGGCCAGTGCAAAGTTTCCAAACTTTTACACTTTGCTTACCTTTTATATATAAGTTCCAGCTTTAAGTCATTTCTTTACTCCCACGTCTTAGCATAGGCGGTTACAAGCAGCCAGTCCATATCTTGAATGCTTTGCTAATTAGGCATTTCTTCTGCCAGACACCCTAGGTCATCACTCTCAAGTTCAAAATTCCATAGATCTCTAGGGCATAGACACAAAGCTCTTCGCTAAGGCATAAAAAAAGGGACCTTTGCTCCAGTTCCAAATAAGTTCCTAATTTCCATCTGAGACCTTGGCAGCCTGGACTTCATTGTCTGTATCACTATCAGCATTTTAGTCACAACCATTTAACCAGTCTCTAAGAAGCTCCAAACTTTCCTTCATCTTCCTGTCTTCTGAGCACTCAACTCTCTTCCAACCTCTGCCTATTACCCAATTCTAAAGCTGCTTCCACATTTTCAGGCATCTTTATAGCAATGCCCAACTTCTCAGTACCAATTTTCTGTTAGTCCATTCTTGAATTGCTGTAAAGAAATACCTGAGACGAGGCAATTTCTAAGTAAAGAGGTTTAACTGGCTCACAGTTCTACAGGCTGTACAGGAAGTATAATGGCACCTGCTTCTGGGGAGGCCTCAGGAAGTTTCCAGTCATAGTGGAAGGCCGAGGGGGAGTAGGCATGTCATATGTCAAAAGAAGGAGCAAGAGAGTGAGGGGGAGGTGCTATACACTTTTAAACAACCAGATCTCATAAGAACTCACTATTGTGAGGATGGTACTAAGAGGGATGGTGCTAAATCATTCATGAGAACTCCACCCTCATGATCCAATCACTTCCTACCAGGCCCCACCTCCAACATTGGGGATTACATTTCAATATGAAATTTGGGCAGGGACACACATTTAAACTATATCAATATCCAAAGGAAATAAAATCAATACGTTTAAGAGATATCTATGCTCCCATGTTTAATGCAGCACTATTCACAATAGCCAAGATGTGGAAGCAACCTAAGTGTTCATCAAAGGATGAATGGATAAAGGAAATGGGATATATATAATGGAATAGTATTCAGACTTTAAAAAGGAGGAAATCATGTTGTTTGCAACAAGGATGAACCTGGAGGACATTATGTTAAGTGAAGTAAGCCAGGCATAGAAAGACAAATACTGTGTAATCTCACTTATATGTGGAATCTAAAAAAGTTGAACTCATAGAAGGAGAGCATAGAATTGTGGTTACCAGGGCCTGGCAGGGGTGGTGGTGGTTGGAGAGATGTTGGTCAAAGGATATACAGTTTCAATTAGGAGGAATTTAAAAAAAAGTGTGTGATGAAATTTGAGTCAGTTCTGAGACTAGAATGTCCAGAAGAAACTGGATGTGACGGAGGCTCAATAATTTAGCAGAATTATGACAAAGAGACAGGGGTGGTAAGGTGAATTATATGCCAACAAACTTCTCTCTTGTACCAAGCACTACCTAGGATATTCAGAGCCCATATGGGATGTGGTTAGAGTTCTGCGAGTTTCATGTACAAGTGTGTATTTTATATATACACGTGTGTGTGTGTGTACACACACCAAGGTATGTATGTACAGTATTTAAACAAGTCACATGTGACCTAGAGGTTTTGCTATTATTCAGACAACATGAACTGCTCAAGAAGAAAGTGGATTAGCAAAGAGCTCCATCTCCTCATCCTTTGTGAGTGATACAGGAGGATGCATAAAAGGACAAGGCACAGAGAAGGCCATGCCCTGCGAGGAGACAGTATAAGACTGTACACAGCAAAGTCTCAATGCCTCGAAGATGAGGCAAAAGTGCACTCTGGAATAATCAGTCAGTTCTGACACTCTGCCACCCCTTGGTCTCCTTTAGCCCTGATGTAGGAAAACACAGGGCCAGGATGACTACCAGATGGATTAAGCATTGTATTGCCAGTGGTACTCTTATACCCCTTGCTGAGCATGCACCTCTAAAGAGTGCATGGGGGTGGGAGCATACTGGATGCTGGTGTAAGGGAAGTCCCAGTGAACAGTGTTCTGCATTGGGCCAGTAATAGTCTCTAATCCAGATGCCATCTTCTCATGAGTCATTCCAGGTGGTTTCTCCTCTAAGAGCCTCTGCTCAATATGTTTCTTCCCTTGTTCAGAATATGCCATGATTCCAGGGGTCCCAGGAGGAGTAAGACTTTTTATTTCTTCCTGATTCCATCTTGGTAAGTTGTATGTTTCTAGGAATTTACCTATTTCTATATCTGGGTCCACAACCCCCAGGCCATGGACCAGTACCAGTCCGTGGCCTGTTAGGAACTGGGCTGCACAGCAGGAGGAGAGCAAACATTACTGCCTGAGCGCCACTTCCTGTCAGATCAGTGGCAGCATTAGATTCTCAGGAGCTTGAACCCTATTGTGAACTCTGCATGCAAGGGATCTAGGTTGCCCGCTCCTTATGAGAGTCTCATGATCTGAGGTGGAACAGTTTCATCCTGAAACCATCCTCCCCTATCCCCTCATCACCCTGGTCTGTGGAAAAATTGTCTTCCATGAAACCAGTCCCTGGTGCCAAAAAAGGTAGGGGACCACTGTACTATATTATCTAATTTGTTGATGTATACTTGTTTGCAATAGTCACTTATGATTGTTTCTGTTTCTTTGTCATTCAAGGTAATGTATTCTATTTAATATCCGATTTTCTGGCCGGGTGCGGTGGCTCAAGCCTGTAGTCCCAGCACTTTGGGAGGCTGAGATGGGCGGATCACGAGGTCAGGAGATTGAGACCATCCTGGCTAACACGGTGAAACCCCATCTCTACTAAAAAATAAAAAAAAAAAACTAGCCGGGCGAGGTGGCGGACGCCTGTAGTCCCAGCTACTCAGGAGGCTGAGGCAGGAGAATGGGGTAAACCCGGGAGGTGGAGCTTGCAGTGAGCTGAGATCCGGCCACTGCACTCCAGCCTGGGCAACAGAGGGAGACTCCGTC